CAGCAGGTTTGAACCTGCCCAATTCTGCACCGTCCTCACATCTCTAATATGCTTGAGCCCATTGTTAAAGTCTCAGTGTCAGTCCAGCTTGTGGAGGAGTCTTACTTTCTTTCTCTGACCCTCCAGCTTCCCAAGCATGATGTCTCTTTCCAAGGACTGGCTCCTTCTGACAACATGCCCAGAATACACGAAACTCCATTTCACACATCCTTGCCTCTAAGGAGCACCTTGGTTACACTTCCTCCAGAATTGACGAGTTGCCCAAAGGACGTCAGGCATCTTCCCATCAGCCCATGGTCATCTGTGTTTCCTAATAAAGCTACCCCCGAGGATTATATGAACATGTGTACATTGTAAAATGAAAGCATCTCTTGAGAGATTGTATTTGAACAATTACAGTGTGGGCTGGATAATTTAAAATTGTTAAGTGGAAACATAAAATCTTGTCCAAAGACTTCTGGCAGCATAATATGTTACGTGTTGTGCTGCTAAGTAAAAGATCCTTAGTTTGAATTCGCCAGCCCTTCTGTGGCCAGATGATGGGCTATCTCCTTCCATAAAGACCTACAGCCTTGGAAATACTGTGGTGGGCAGTTACTATGAGTTAGAACCTACTGGATGTCAGTGGGTTTTAAAACTTTCCCAGGTAAAGCTCTTATTTCACTTTCCTCACCCCTATCCCCCCCTCAAGCTTTTATTGGGGGCTACAGGAGCCCTATCCTCAGAGGTGCTCACAGTTTCTTCAGCCACTCCAGGCTAGAGCCCTGAGGGTCCTGGGGGTGGCTGGGTACTTCAGGCATGTTCCCTTCATCTCGGAGGGACATTGTGTAGCTGTAGGGGGTGGCCTCATTGATCGTGATGGCATACTTGGTGTAAGGGCTTAATGAGGGCAGAATAACAGCGAGGCCCGCAATGCTGAAGGAAACGACCAGCACCTTGGCCCAGGCATTCGTGATGGAGGCTGAGAGCCTGGTTGCCCTGTTGGCCTCGGCGGTGGCAGTGGCCAACCTCACTTGTTGATATATGTGCCATTGAGCGACTCATAGTGAACCTGTGAACCACAGATCTAAACTCTGTCCTCTTCTGCACCAACTTTGTCATCTCTGACACACTTGAGCCTGTTGCTGCACTCCCTGTATCAATCCATTTTGGAGGGTCTTCCTTTTACCTTGACCCTCCGCCTTCCTAGCAACGTGTACAAAGTCAGTGAGACTGGACGAAGCTTCACTGTCCCTGACTCTAAGGAGCACTCTGGCTATACCTTCCCCAAGACTTATCTGTTTGTTTCCAAAAAACCCATTGTAACTGAATAAATCTCTACTCATAATGACCCTGTGTCATAGAGTAGAATTGCCACAAAGAATTTTCGATGCTGTAAAGGTGAGACTGTCTCATCTTTTCTCCCTCAGATCAACTGGTGGATTTGAACCGCTAACCTTCTGGTTAGCCTAACACATACCAAACCATGCCATCAGGGCTCTTTTCAGTTAAGATCAAAACTGAAAACGATTGCTGTCAAGTTGGAACCAACTCATAGATGAATGTCTAAGTTTCTAAGCTGTGAGGAGATGTGTCTGTTTTTTTCTCGAGAAGCCACTGATGAATTTGAATCATCAGAGAGACATGATCTTTGGGTTAGCAGCTCAACTACGCCACCAGAATTTATGAATCCAGTTGACTCCTTCGTTAGTAAATACTCCCCAGAGCACCTTGTCTTCTCCCTTACCTCTTTCTCTTTCCTACTGGAGAATAAAAAGGGACACATACGCATGAAGATTGCACAGTCCTGAGTTACCTGGTTCGCTCACTTTGTAGTCACACAGGTGTAAGATAGAAATTAGTACTTGATCCGGTTTTGGAGGCACGTAGCCTACACTTTAGTCTGACCCTGAAAGGCTGAAATTTGCAGAAAGCATTTTCAAGCAGATAATTGCCTTTATGATATGTAGTATTGCTTTTGGCTGTGCCTTTACAAAATAAGTGGAACCTAAGTGGAACAAAAAGAAGTCATTTTAGGATGAAGATGTTCGTTTTGAGGGATCAGCAGAAGGGTGAGGTAGTTACGCTCAGCTCTGCATCTCTCTTTGGGCAGCAGATGGCCAGTCTGGCAGTGGACTGGCTGGATTGGGCATTTGTGCATTGCATTCCTGCAGTGCAGCTCTGGGGCCAAGAGAGTTGCTTTATGAGACTTCATGTCAAATGTCTGCTGTGGTTGTCCCAACAAACACACTGTCCCATCCCAGAAAGGAATTTTCTGAGAACACTGAGATTCACTCTGCTGGTGATGATTAAACAAAAGGGGGATTTCCTTTCTTGGTGTCCTGCTGAACTGGGGCAGATTGACCTTCATGGTGTTCTCTACAAGCCCATCTGTCTCACCAATTGGAGGGGGGATTGCTGATGGATGACAAGCTTCTGGGTAATTAATACCATATTTTAGATCGACTCTTCCTGGTGTGAATGTGCCTGAGGCCTGGTTGATGCATACCATAAATCAAAATACTTTGTACCTTTCTGTTGTTATGTGCTGTTGAGTCACTGTGACTCACAGTGGCCCTATGTTCAACAGCCATAAACCCTGCTCTGTCTTATGCCAATCGCACTGTCTCTGATGCACTCATCCTGATTACCCCAGTCACTGAATTAATCCACCTCATAGAGGGTATTCCCCTCCTGCGCTGTCCCTCCACCCTCCCAAGAATGATGTCCCTTTCCAAGGACTGGTACCTCCTTAAAACATGTCCAAAGTATATCAGACGAAGCCTCAGAATCCTTGCCTCCAAGGAGGAGCCCAGTTTAACCCTCTCCAGGATAAATCTGTTTGTTTTCTTAGCAGTCCACTCAGTACTCTTTTCCTGCACCACAGCTCAAAGGCATCAATTCTCTTTCTATCCTCCCTAGTCATTGTCCAACTCTCTGATGTATAACAAGTGATTGCAAAGACCATGGCTTATATCAGACACACTTTAGTCTCCAGAGAGACACCATTGCTGTTCCTTATGTTGGAGAGGTCCCTAACTGCAGACTTTCCCATCACAATACGTCTTTTAATTTCCTGTCTGCTGATGCCAAGTGTGTTGAGTGTGGAGCCAAGCAAACTAAAGCTGTGAACACTCTCAATCTCTTCGCCATCCACCCTGATGCTACTGATTGGTCCAGTGGTGAGACTTTTTGTCTTTTTTGTACCTTAGCTAATGAAAAAAAGGATAACAGAAGGAGAATTGATATCTTCGAATTGTGATGTTGGAGAAGAGTACTGAATATCTTGTGAACTGTCAAAAGAATAAACAAGTGTGTCTTGAAGAAAGTGCAACCAGAGTGTTCCTTAGAGGCAAGGGTGGTGAAACTTTGTCTCACATATTTTGGGCATCATATTAGGATGACCCAGTTCTTGGGAAAGGAAATCGTGCTAAGGAAAGGTGGAGTGTCAGAGAAAGACCATCAACAAGATGGATTGACCATATGGTAACAATGGGCTCAAGCATGTTTGGGATCATGAAGATGACACAGGATAGGTTCAGGTCTGTTGTTCATAGGGCACAGAACTATTGTTCATAGGACCACTAGTCGACGTGACGGCACCTAACAATAAACCAGACACCCTGGTTATTAAATTATTACTTTTTTTTTGGTGGTGGACGTTTAATTGTAGTCTGGTCCCTGAGATCGCACTCATCCCTAAGTTTAAGAATGTAACCTAAGCTGAGATTGTTTGTGGAGCCATGGTGGTGTAGTGGTTTAAATGTTGTACTGTTTAGTACAACAAGGAATGAATGGAAACCCAAAATCTCTGTAAATGTTTATGAAAATTAATAAAATATAGAAAAAAAAATGTTGTACTGTTAACCAGCACAGTAAACAGTGCTAGTCAGCCAACATCTAGGTCTTCTGGCCTTAGGTCACAGCAGCTGAGGTTTAGGGAATTCAGTCTTTGGATAGGAGAGAAAATTAAATGGAAACAGAACTTGTAGACCTGATGATGCAGATGCCATTCTTCTCTATTGGGATATATGGCCTTCAGTGAGTCATTTAATCTGTCAGGATGTTGTTTGTCTATGAATAAGGCCTTAGGACTACATGAGCTTTTTAGGAATTTTTCCTTGCTAAGTACTTTTTAAAGTTAACTTTTTTAAAAAAATAAACAAACTTACTCTGAGCAACCTTTATTTTGGGTAACATGGGTCACCTTCATAAATTGAGTAAAGTGGCTCATTTTATCCATTTTAATTTTTAGGCCAAACAGTGGGGTTGGACACAGGGTTGGTGGCCCAAAAGAGTGCTGTGTTTTTGCTGCGTATGCTTAAAAATGCCAAAAGAAATGCTGAACTTAAGGGTTTAAATGTTGATTCTCTGGTCATTGAGCATATCCAGGTGAACAAAGCTCTCAAGATGCACTGCCACATGTACAGAGCTCTTGGTCGGATTAGCTCGTACATGATCTCCCCCTGCCATATTGAGAGGATCCTTACTGAAGACTGTTCCTAAACCAGAAGAGGAGGTTCCCCAGAAGAAAAAGATCTCCTAGAAGAAACTGAAGAAACTTATGGCTCAAGATTAAATACGTCATCAAATAAAAGGAAAATAACTTAAAAAAATAACTTTTTATTGTTATTCGGGTGAAAGTTTACAGACTAAATTTGGTTTCCTCTCAATGATACACACACTGTTTGATAATAGTGATTCCAGTCCCCACGCTGAAAAGCACTCTTCCTGTTTCCTCTCTGTGCTTCCCATGTTCATTTATCCTTTCCTGTCCTTTTGCTCTCCTCTGGCTGGTTATTCTCAGGCATATGCTGCTTCCTGTTGTTGGGGAACACCTTATTGGTTTGTCTGTCTGTCTGGTGGGAAGTCGAGTCAGGGGCTGATTACACTTCCAGACTTGAAGGGTGAGGAAGGAATTCTAATGATGCTTTTTGTCTTTAAGTTTTTGTTTTCTACAAAACTACATTTATTACATCTTCTGCATAATGACTAAAAGAGTATTTGTTTGTTACAGAATGTTTTGATGCCTTCTGGCTCCCAGAATCTCAAGCTGCTCTGGTGATAGCTTAAGAAGACTGCATGCTGTTGCCTCTAGATGCCGAGCCAGGCCTACTCAGAACCTCGGAACTCAATCCTTCATGGAGACCAGGTCCCAGCAGGATGGCAGTGGAGAAAATTGGCACCCAGATGGTTCCTCTGCATGAAGTTGTTGCGGGATACGGGCCGATGCGAGAACACCTGGTAACCAGGCTCGCCCTCTGTCAGTCATCCGGGGCAGGGCAGCATGGCGCACGTTCGGAGGAGGAAGCTTTTGGCGTCCTGCCTGTGCATCACAGCCACCATCTTTCTGCTTGTCACACTTCAGGTATCAGGAATTGAGGTTGCACAGGGGGTTGATTCCTGGGCCTTTGCCACCTTCCTACACCCAGCCCAATTTTTTAGTACTCCGTGTACTTTCCTTTTTATTTACTCTAAGATTTTAGGCTTTTAATTGTCTAAGGCAGACAGTACACAGCGTTTTATTGATTTTTTTTTATTTAGAAACAAAACCCCATGAAACAGGTTTAGTGAGTGGGTATGTGAAGTAGCGGCAAGTCAGTGGGATAGACGCCCAGTTTGTGACTTCTGTAGAATCTCAAGTCCAAAGGAACAGAAAGGTAAAACTTGCTCAGTCTGTTTTGTATAGTCAAGGTTACAGTCCTCTTAATTGGTATGTCTGAAAAATAGTATCCTTGAAGAAGCAAGTACTATTTTGAGGACAAGATAATCAGTATCTTGTAGTAAGTAGCGATCATAAATTTATAAATTTGTGGTTCTTGACCTATGCTACTAGACAAAAAACTATTAAGATTAAAGAATTAAAATATTTCTTTAATCTTTCCACTTAATCACTGTGGCACAGTGAATTATTTAATATCATTGTTCTAGCTATTGTCTTTAGGGCATGTAGTTCACATCCCCCAGCTGTTCTTCCAAAGAAAGATAGTGGGAGAAGGTTGGGGAGCCTCCTCCCATGTGATATACCACCTCTGAGAACCCACAAGAGGGTCAGCATGAGGCAGTTAAGAGTTGACGGTACACAACAGCAATGTGTGTGTGTGTGTGTGTGTGTGTGTGTGTAATATTTATGAAGAATGTAAGAGGTCATTACATAGAAGACAGAGGAGGAAGAAAAGACTGGAATGATATTAGAAGAGACTCTGAATTTTACTAGAGCATGTGGAAGCCAAAGCAAAGTGGGGAAAAAATCAGGAAGTTAAGGAGTTGAACAGAAGATTTCAAAGGACATCTTGGAAAGATGAAGCAAAGTATGACAAAACAAAATGTATTTCATATATAATAAAAGGTGCAAAGAGCTGGAGTCAGAAAATCAGAAGAGATAAACTTGATTGACATTTATTTAGCTGTAGGAACTGAAGAGCAAATTCAAGCCTTAAGTTGAAATACCTAAGTATGCTATGGGCAGAGTACTGAATGATCCAGGAAGCATCAAAAGAAGATGGAAGGAGTACACAGAATCACTGTACCAAAAAGAATTGGCTGACACAGAAGAATTTCATGAAACAACATATGAGCAAGAGCCTATGGTGATGAAAGAAGAAGTTCAGGCTGCTTTGAAGGAAATGGCAAAAAATAAGGCCCAAGGAATAGATGGTATACCAATTGACATATTTCAGCTAGCAGATGCTGCCCTGGACCTGCTCACCAAGTTGTGTCAAAAAATCTGGAGGACAGCTACATGGCCTGAAAGAGATCTGCATTTATTCCCATTCCAAAAAGAAGTGACTTGACAGAGTGCAGAAATCATCAAACAGTATCACTAATGTCACATGCAAGCACGATCATGATGAAGATTACCCAAAAATCACTGCAACAGGACATTGACAGAGAACTACCAGAAGTGCAAGCTGGGTTTAGGAGAGAATGTGGCACTAGGGACACCACATGTTAGATGGATCTTCGCTGAAAGCAGAGAGTATCAAAGCAATGTCTATCTGTGTTTCATTGACTGTGCAAAGGCATTTGACTGTGTGGATCACAACAAATTGTGGCTAGATTTGAGAAGAATGGGAATCCCAGAGCATTTAATTGTGCTCTTGTGAAACCTATACTTGGTCCAGAAGCAGTCATCAGAACAGAGCAAGGAAAACACTGCAGGGTTCAAAATCAGGAAAAGAGTCATGAAAATAAATTTAAAATAAAAAATTTAAAAAAGTTAGGAAAGGCGTGAATCAAGGATGCAACTCATTTCCATACTTTTTCAGTCTACAGTGTGGAACAGAATATTCAGGAGGCTAGACTTTGTGAGCATCAGGAGTGGAGGAAGACTCATCAATAACCTACGTTAGGCAGATGATACAACCTTGCTTGCTGAAACTGAGGCATTTGCTGCAGAAGGTCAAGGACTGTAGTCTTCAATATGAATTGAAGCTCAACATCAAGAAGACAAAGATTCTCACCACTATACCAATTGGCAGCACCATGATAAAAGGAGATTAAGATTGTTCAATTTCAATTTGCTTGGTTCCATAATCAACACTCTTGGAACTAGCAGTAAAAAGACTAATTGCATTGGGGAAATCTGTCAAGGAACTCTCGAGAGTGATGAAGAGCAATGATGTCAGTCTAGAGACTAAGGTGCTACTGACTCAGGCCATGGTCCTCATAATTATTTACTATGTATGCATCAGAGAGCTAGAAAATGCCTAAGGATTATTGAAGAAGAAATAATGCCTTTGAGTTGTGGTGCTGCAAGAGTATTGAACAGTGCTAAGAGAACAAACAGGTCTGTCCTGAAGAAGTTGAAGCCAAGCTGTTCCTTGGAGGCAAAGATTTTGAAGCTCTGGAGGGACCAGTCCTTGGAGAGGGTCATCATGCTTGGAAGGATAGAGGGACAGAGCAGGAGAGGGAGACCCTGGGTGAGATGGATTGACAGAGTAACTAGGGTAATGGGGGTAGATGTGTTGGAAACAGTGAGATTGGCTCAGGATAGAGCAGGGTTCAGAGCTGTTGTACATAGGATTGCTATGACTCATAGGCAATTCAGTGGCACATAAAAACCACAACACAACATAGATACATATATATGCACACATATATGTATGTATATATGCACATATATACACACATATATGATATATATATATGTGTGTGTGTATGTGTATATATGTATATAGGGAGCTCTGGTGGCCTAGTGGCAAAAAGCTGCAGTGTCGGGAAGACCTGATGGCGGGAATCATTGTTGCAGGCTGGGACCCCCAAGAAGGAGGGCAGATGTACTCAGTGCCCATGGGGGGTATGATGGTAAGGCAGTCCTTTGCCATTGGAGGTTCTGGGAGCTCCTATATCTATGGCTATGTTGATGCTACCTACCGGGAAGGCATGACCAAGTAAGAGTGTCTGCACTTCACTGCCAATGCTCTCGCTTTGGCCATGGAGCGAGATGGCTCCAGTGGAGGAGTGATCCGCCTGGCAGCAATTGCAGAATCAGGGGTAGAGCGGCAGGTACTATTGGGAGACCAGATCCCCAAATTCACCATTGCCACTTTACCTCCCCCCTGAATCTCTGTACTCTGATATAATTAAAGACACTATACTGACAGAAAGATCAATAAACAGTTTGTCAGAGAAAAAAAAAAAAGCTGCAGTGCAATCCTGAAGGCCACCAGCTGCTCTGCGGAAGAAGGATGGGCAATCCCCTCCTGTGTGATTAACTGCCTCTGAAAACCCACCAGAGGGTCAGCTATGGGTCAGTTCTGACTCTAAGGTACACAATAACAACATCTGTGTGTGTGTGTGTGTGTGTGTATACACACACATATATATATGTGTATATCCTGTCTATCTCTCTATCTATCTGAGATACAGACATATTCTCAAGGAAATCCCCCTTATTTGAGCAAGACAGTATAGGATGGTAAATATATAGACACGAATTAAATATATATTCAGCTGTGTTTATAGCCTAGTGGCAAGAAGCTACACTGCAATTCCAAAGGCACACAGCTGTTCTGTGGGAGAAGGGTGGGCAGTCTCACCCTGTGTGGTTAACAGTGTCTGAAAAAATGCCAGAGAATCAGCTATGGGTCGGTTCCGACTCCACATGCGTCTGGATTCTGCATCTGCCTTATTATTAATTAACTGACCTCTAATTCTGGAGTCAGCAAGCCATCATCCAACCTTATTTTCTAGCTTCTGCAGCCTCATGAGCCAGCAGTCTGCCATAAGCTGCTGATTTTCGGTTCATCAGATCCAGTAACCACGTGAGTCAGGGGAAGCTCTAGCCTGACACTTGACCCATAAATTTTTAACTTGTTAGCCTCCACAACTTATGCAAGCTGTTTCCTTGATAGTTTTTGAGTTCTGTTTCAGCAAAACACAGAACCTTAAGATGAAAGGACTGAAAAGAATGTGTTTGCTTTATAGAATATCTTTTCTCTTTAGGAGTGAATGAAACAGTGCTTGTAAAAACACTTTCACAAACAGTTTGGCATTGTACGTCTTCCACTTCAGATTAGACTTTTAGTCAGAGGAAAGAAGGACTTAACTCTCTTTCTTGCCCATCTTGTGGAATGAGGTTTCAGATTTTCTGCTTCTTTTTATAGAAAGTAAAAAAAAAAAATAAAAAAAAAAGTAATGGGAGGACTTTGAAGTTGAATACAAATCTCAGAGCCGGGCAATGAATAAAGATGACAAGAAAAAATTATGTCTTTGAGCTGTGGTGTTGAAGAAGAACACTGAACATCACATAGACTGCCAAAAGAACAAACAAATAATTCTTGAAGAAAGTGCAGCCAGAGTGCTCCTTGAAGGCAAAGATGATAAAGCTTTGTCTCACATATATCGGGCATGTTGCTAGGAGGGGCTATTTTTTGGAGAGGAACATCCTGATTGGGAAGGTGGAGGGTTGGTGAAAAAGAGGAAGACCTCAACCAGGTGAATTGGCAGTGGCTGCTGCAGTGGGCTCAAGTGTGTCAGAGATTGTAAGGAGGCACAGGATAAGACAGGGCTCAGATCTGTTGTTCGTCCTCGGCTCTTTGGTACCTAACGATGATGAGCGACCTTTGATATACTTAGACATTTACTTTGGTATTTTTTTTTCTAATCATGAGAAATGTCAATGTATAACTTAGAGCTTTCTTTTTATGTAATCATGAATTGCTGCATTTTGGTTATATGTGTATTTTCTGAACTTCAGAAGTTTGAGAGGTAACCTTTCATTGGTTTCAGATTTACCACTGAGAGCATGGCTGGGTCTGTTTGATTGTGTTGACCCAATCTTGTAGGCTATTTCAATGTTCAGAATTATTGCAATACTGTATTTTTAACAGTAAAAAAATTTAAAAACAAAAATAAGTACAGTGC